GGAACAACAACTGTGGTATTTCATTAATTACTTTCAAAAATTAAGTGCATGGAGTTAGAATTCAAAACGAGACAAAATGGCCTAAAATTTCTAAAGACTCTTCTACTAGACCGATAACTCCACTCCTAGCGATGTACAACCCAAATCAAAAAGAAAGGACAAAAACAATAGTATCCTACTCATCATCTCCATCCTCTCCGTCTCCGTCATCATCCTCCCAAGTATCCTCCTCTCCAGCGTTATCCTCAGTTCCTTCCTCCTCTTCATCATCATCATCCTTATCTGTGTCTCCCACCTCAACAACAGTGGAAGCAGAGGGTCTAGCAGGCGAAGGTGGTGGTCCACTAGGTATCGGCTTGTTGGGGAACGTGTGCTGAAATAGTCTGGTCATCATCGCTAAGATCCTATGAATTGTCTCCTCTAACACATTCAGGCACTGAGATACTATGCGCACAGGAGCAGACGTGGACGGCCTAGGAGCAAATGGCCTCGTAGAGGAAGGTCCTGCGGCCGATGACCCCGATGTTGAAACCCTAGCACACTCGTCCCGACTCATAGCAGACCTCTTGCTATTCCTTGCCTTCCTGATGGCTCCGGTCTCGAAAGGAGTCAGCTCGTCAAAGGCATAACCCTTCACCTTGAAATGGTCGCACATGAGGGTGACTAGGTTTCCAAACGCAAAATTCACCTTCGACTTTCTAGCCTGGGCAAATTCCTTCATCACCTCCCATATTAAGAGTGCTATATCCAAAGCCTTTACTGTCATCACCGTATTCAAAATGGCAAGTTTTTCTGCATTCGGGCTCCTCTCGACTCCTCTTGGGAGCAATTTATAATGCAAAATTTTGTTCATCATCCCGTATGCATGCTTGAGGCCCCCGACTTGGATCTTTCCCCTAAATTGAGTCGAGTCCTCATACATCAAAGCCACATACTCTAGGATGTTCTTGACCCCAAGAATGTTATGTGGATACACCAGGGTGGAGGGAGGTGGTCTCTCGTACTTCATGAAGGTGGCAATCACAGCAGGGGTCATATCAAAAGTCTTGCCCCTTACGTTTGTTCTCAAAATCTCCACGTCTTCGTCCACCTCCTTGAGTTTTTGGTAAAACTCCCGGTACAACTACAAATTGAACCCACTCACGGGCTCAAACCAGATCCCAATCCCGTTGGCCTCAATGATCCTCATAACCTCGTTGTTTAGACCCAAGGATATCCTATCCACAAACCTTTCACAAGTGACGTCCTTTTCTTCGATGCTTTGGTTTTGAGCATCGTTCCTTGCCTTCTTCCTCTGCTTACTTCAGTCTCCACTAGACCTTTCCCCGCTTCTCTTTCGAGCACTCGCACCCTCGGGCTGTGGAGAACTTGGGCCGGTGGGTTTGGTGCGGGCCATGCAAAGCAACAGTGCTCCATACAGTAAAAGTGACAACAACGCCAAGAACAAGCCCCCAATTGGGTCCACAGGGTCAAGAATGATCCTCCCATTGCGAGCCATTTCGAAGATTTTTGAGCTTTTGAAAGGAGTTAAGGATATTGGGGCTTGGGGTAAAATTCGGTAATACTAGGGTTTAGGGAATGGAATCCTCAACTCTTCAATGAAATCCACTAAATCAACAACCTAACCGTGAGGGATGAGAGATTAGGGCAATGGGTAAGAAGGTTTGAAGCTTAGGAATGTTTGGAGGGGGAGAGAAATGCCATAGGGTTTGTGCTTTGGGAAGACAATGAATAGTTTTCTCGAAAATATCTGATTAAAACCCCTAATTCTGGCATTCTAGACAAAACCTACCGGTTGGTTGATGCCAAACCTACGGGTAGGTTTTACTCCAGTAAGCAAAAACTATGGGTAGTTTTCAGGTAGGTTCAAGACAAGTGTGCAAAACCTACATGTAGTTTTATGTACAAAACTACCAGTAGGTTTTCACTTATTTGCACAAACTTGTGTTCTCTACTTCACTTCAACTCCTACACATTCTAGCACTCTAATTATGATCTCTGCTTCACCTGAAACATGTGCTACACTCGTAAACCACAATTTGAACCATCATGCCCCAAGTCATTATCGAAATTGCAATATGATTTAAAATTATGATGCTTTCAAAACACAAAGTATGGATTTCTACATTAAACTACCAAAATGAACACCCAAAATGTAAGACACATATTTAAATAACAAGGGCATTCCTAATTCATACAAATATCAAAAACTTGAGCAATATTCCCCTATCCTACAAGCATGGGGCTACTTAATCCATCGTTCAAATGACTGAACCGAGCACACATGAGCATCACCATAGTTTTAAATACTAGTCCAGAGTATGCACATACACATTCATTTTCAAACTCGTGTGTGTGTGAACTAGACATGTAATTTAAGCATTTACACAATAAAATTCACATTTGATTGGCTAGCCAAATTCAGTTTTGATGCAAAACTCACCAAAGGTCTCTCTTAATAATAAATCACACTCTAGTTTTCCTGGCATGCTCTCCATGTGTATACGCGAGATAGAATCTTGTGCACAAAATGAAGTATGCTCACATATAATCCAAAAATGAAGTACATGCATAAAAATTAAACAACCTTGACATAATCTCATGAAAGAAATGCTAGGGCACTAGATAGCAAACTAGCTTCTCTTTTTCTTTAAAAGTATGCATCTCTCATGCTTCTCTAGATCATTTAGGACTTTCAAAGGTTATAATGGGGCCTTAGGGGTGATATCTAGGTAAAATGAAATGAAGGAAGGAGGAAAACAAAGATGGTTGTTCCAAGTGAATGCTATTGTTTCAAAAATTCTCCCTTTTCATGGGCTTTTCAGTCTAACACCATCACCACACCCTTTATTTCTTTTTCTCTCTTTTCCTTAACATTTTTCCTTTATTTTTTCATTCATTTCTTATTTTCACCCCTTGTTCTCCTTTCTTGGATTTTCATTCTTTTTCCATTCCACTCTTTGAGTTGCAACATCATTCATCCCTTTTGTTTGAGTTTCCAACATATTTTTCTTCTCTTTTATGATCGCTCATATTCAACTCTAGGAACAACCAAGGTGAGAAAATTTTTTATCATTTTGCACTGGCTTGGTCAAATGTGTGGTTTGGAAACAAATTTACAATTAAGGCTCAATTACGGCACTAGGGATAAACTTTTCACAAGAAAAAGGCTAAGGTTCAAAGTAAATCAAAGATGGCCTAAGATCCTTTCTAGATGGGCATGTGGGAGCACATTGTATTTCAAGACAAAGTCAATCCACTACCTAAATGCATCTAGCCAAAACAAGCATAATGAGATTACTGAACAAACTTGGAATTCGAAAAACTATTCCTTAAGTAAATGTAAGTTCCCTCCAACAAGGATTTGTACTAAAGCTCTCATGGGTCCTTACTCATTTTCACTATTCATGTCAAGCACTCAACTATGAATCCATTCAGTAAATTGTCAAAATTACATATTCACGGTGCACTTAAGGTTAAGTTCAAAAGCAAATACATATGTGATACTCACGTATAGGATGAACTTCTATAATGTGCTCATGTATTCAAGCTTCACACAACAAACAACATCTCAACAAACCCATAATACTCTTAATAAGGGAATACAGATCAACATTCAGATATTTTTCACAAAAAATTTTAAAATTTTCACATAATTTGCAACTATTGTAAACAAAAATCTGTAGGATATGTGAAAGGTGAATTCTCACCACAAAAAATTGGTATTATCAACAAACATTTTCACAAACATTGATGTATCATACAAATGGTGCACTTCACCCCCAACTTGATTCATGCATTGTCTGCAATGCAACAAAAAAGATATGATATGCAATGGAGGACTGTAAAAAGATGAGTATGGTTAGAGAACACCTCGCATTTGAGCTTTGACAAAAAAAACTATATCTGCAACTTAAGAAAAAAACACTTTACAGCAAGACAAATTATGTAAACATAAAAAGATAAGGTAAGTAAAAACAACTGTACACTTAAAATTCTAAGAACAATTAATCCTCCAGCAAGTTTGGGTAAACTGGATTCATCAAATCTTCTTCCACCCCTTGACCTTCAAAACTCTCAAAGAATGGCTTAAATCTTTAGCCATTGACCTTGAATGCCCTGCCATCCTCGGGGTTTGTGACTTCCACAGCTCCATTGGGGTAGGTCACCTTGACAAGATTGCGGTCATCCCAATGGGATTGAAGTTTCCCTTGAAAAATTGAGAGACAAGAGTTGTATAAGAACACTTTTTGGTCGGGCTCAAATGACTTCCTTATAATGGATTTGTCATCAAAGATCTTTTCTTTTTTTTTTGAAAATAAATGTCATATATGAAGAGACAATTACAAGAACCAAAGAGGGAAGACAAAAGGGTACAAAAAAAGGGGGGTAGCCTGAAGAGGCTTTAATCCTACAAGACAATAAAAGGAAAAATACATCATAATGCTAAGAGGCTCCAGCATCCATCCAGTAAGAGAAGATCGAATGAAACCAGATGAGAGACCAGTTGGAAAATGAAAGACTAGCTGAGGGCTTAGCTGGAACCAGGAGAGATAGTGCAGCTTGGGGAAAGATGGGAACCAACAAATATTAACAAAATAAGAAGAGGTCAGCTGAGGGAGGTCAGCTCAACTGGAACCAGGCGAGACAGTGCGGCTTGGGGAAATGGGAACCAACAAACAACATAAAATAGAAGAGGTCAGCTAAAGGAGGTCAACTGATGGAGCAATAAAAGCAAGAGTGTAAACCGAGCAAAAGCAACTGAAGGAGCCAGATCATCCAAAGAGCACGTCGAAGAAAACCACAGCTGAGGACAATGAATGAGGAGGAAATGCATCGGGAAGCTGATGGGGCATACCGAAATACATCCCCTCCAACAATGAACCAGATACAACGAAGGCAGCTGAAAAGCCACCCAACTACTCCATAAAAGGCAGTCTTGAATAGATAATCCTCCAAGACTCACCAACATGAAACGAAAATGGGAGGAAGTGGAGAACAGGAAGTCAGAGCAGAGGAGAGCAAAGGCCAGCAAGAAGGATAGAGACGATAGTCCAGGGAAGATGATTCATGTGTTCCCCATGGTGTTGTTCCTTTTGATGCAGCAGTTGTGCCTTGAGTGGCATCCAATGGATGCAGAGAGCCCCCCAGAAAAATAAGAGATCCAAAAGAGGCCACCATAGATCAGCAGTCCAAGCAAAACTAGAAGACCCAACCCCAACTGAATCAACACAGATCCCAGAGACCCTCACCAGAATCTGATAATTCACAGAATGCACTCCAAATAGATGTTCACACAGATTGACAATGTAATCCAGATCATGAAAGATAATGAGAATGAGATCTGAAACATAAAACCATGCCCACTATTGCACCATCTCAAATCATGTAACACGCAGAGGAGAAAGCCAATAGTCCAAGCATAAACCCAGCAAAGCACCAAAACACAGTAGCAGAACAAAGGTCAACCCCCAAAAGCACTGCCCAAAATACTAAGCAGCTAAAGCAAACCCCTCATTAACCAATCCCTTGTCTGTGCACACTCATAGCAATTTTCTTTAGTCTGGCAGAGGCCATCATTTGTTGATCCTGTTGTAAAATTAGTCTACCAGAACTAGGGAGCATACCACCATCAGAAAAATTAGAGGATCTACCAGTCTGAACTGCATAGGAAGCCAGGAAGTCAGCAACTCTATTAGCTTCACGATACTCATGCCTAATCTGGAACTGCAACAACCCCAGCAAATCAATAATATGTTCCATGTAGGCAGATAAGCTCCATGGAATCTTAACCATGCCTAGAACCATCTTAACCAAAACTTGGGAGTCAGACTCCAAAATAATATGAGAGGTATTCAAACCATAGTTCATGATCATTTTCAAACCATCCAACAGCGCCAGGCACTCCGTTTTCATGTTTGATCCAATACCATAGTTTGCAGCAACAGCAAGTAGAACATGTCCCTTAGAGTCCCTTAAAACCAATCCTCCACCAGATAAGCCATTGCTTTTGGAAGCCCCATCAACGTTTAACTTCACCTTGTTCCTATTAGGGGGTTCCCATTTAATCCATTTCACCTTAGTGATAATAGTAAATTGAGGAACAATCCTAAGGTTCAGCAGTATAACATTTCCTACTCTGCCCTCATCCTTCTTGGGTTTGATCAAGTAAGCTTGTCATTTCAATGCATTAAGAACCTAGAGAAAAATTCCATGACTGTTTGAACACAACCCTTCAAATCTCTTTTTACACCTTTCTTTCCATAAAGCCCAGAAAATAAGCATAGAAACACCTCTCACAAGAGCATGGCTAAGGGAAGGGCTTCTGAAGCATCTACAAATTCTCAGGAACCTGCAAATAGGAGGCTCCCTAAGCACAATGTGAAAGCCCATAATAGCAGCAAATTTGTTCCAAATAGAATGAGCAACATATACTGACAAGAGAAACCCCCACACTTTTTATTCTATCATCAGATGTAACTATTTTCTTACAAATCTCTCATGTACACAGTTGAGCACTAGGAGGCATTTTCTGATTCCAAATACTATGTGCAATAAACAATGGTCCCTAGTCCTTCTAGTTTGATCCCATGCAAATTTGATTGAAAAATAGCCTGAGTTTGTACTCGCTCTTTTGAAATTTTAAAGCTCTCATACGCATCTCTTCGAATCTCTTCCAAAGCATTCATTTCTAGCTTCCTATTCTCTATGGTCATTCTCAAATTGAAGTTTAGAGCTTTTATGGACTAATAGGCCTTGTGTTCCATTTCAATTGGCAAATGGCAAGCCTTGCCATAGACGAGCCAATAGGGAGACATACCTAAGACAATCTTGTAAGCAGTGCGATAAGCCCATTGGACATCGGTCAGTCTAAATGACCAATCTTTCCTATTTAGGTTCACCATTTTCTCTAGGATATTTTTGATCTCCCTATTGGCTAACTTGGCTTGGCTATTCGTCTGTGGGTGATATGTGGTGGATACCTTGTGTGTGACACTATACTTATGCATCATTGATGCAAATGGCCTATTACAGAAATGCAATCTACCATCGCTTATCATAGCATGAGGCATCCTGAACCTCAAAAAAATATTCTCCTTGAGAAACTTGACCACAACCCAGTGGTCATTGGTCTTGGTTGGGATAGCCTCCACCCATTTGAACATGTAATCCACTGCTAGTAGAATGTATAGGTGACCAAAAGACACAGGGAAGGGACCCATAAATTCGATGCCCTAACAGTTAAATATCTCTATAAGAAGTACAGTGGAGAGGGGCATCATGTTCCTTCGGGTCACACGACCCAGTCTTTTGCACCTATCGTTTCTTTACAAAATGAAATACAGTCGTTGTTTAATGAGGGCCAGTAAAAACCTGATTGTAAAATTTTCGTCGAAGACTTCTTGGAAGAGAAGTGGCCACCGCATGCTTCCCAGTGGCAAAATGCAAGGAAATCCCACTATTCATTTTCTTGTACACATCTCCACATGATTTGGTCAGGGCAATACTTGAATAAGTACGGGTTGTCGAAGTAAAAGTACTTCACATCCGCCATAAATCTTTGTCTATCTTCCGGGCTCCAATGCAATGGTATTTTCCTGTAGCAAGATAATTACATATGTTAGCATACCAAGGACAAACATAATGAATCGAAAGTAAATGCTCATCCGGGAAAAAATCAGGGATAGGAATGTGCTTATCGGCCTCTTGCACCACAAGTCAGGATAAATGGTCTGCCACCACGTTCTCAACTCCCTTTTTGTCTTTGATCGTCAAATTGAATTTTTGTAGGAGGAGTATCCAGCTAATGAGTCTTAGTTTTGCATCCTGCTTAGACAACAAGTACGTCAAAGTAGAGTGATCAATACAGACTATTATAGGTGAACTAATAATGTAGGATCAAAATTTATCTAATACAAATACTACTGCTAGCAATTCCTTTTCGGTGGTGGTATAATTCATTTGTGCCTCATTAAGGGTTTTGCTAGAAGAGTATATTACATAAGGTCTCTTGTCTTCCCTTTGACTGAGCACAACGCCGACCACGAAATCACTTGCGTCGCACATAAGCTCAAATGGTAAATCCCAAATGAGTGGTTGCATAATTGGAGGTGTAGTGAGCATGCTTTCAATTTTTTAAAAGATACCTCACAATTTTCCGACCACACGAATGGGACATCCTTAGAAAGTAGGTTGGTCAAGGGTCGGGCCAATGCACTAAAGTCTTTAATAAAATAACGATAAAAGTCGGTATGGCCAAGAAACAACCTAATATCTTTGATGACATTTGGTGTGAGGAGGTTGGAAATTGCCTCAACCTTTGATTTGTCGACTTCAATCCCCTTTGTCGAAACAATGTACATCTCAAAAGAATCGAGCTTCATTTTGTAGCGGAATAAACAAAATACATCTATTAGTGTACCAAAATATATCCCCTAATCTAAAACATGGAGAGATCAACTCTAGACATCCCCCTTGGGATCCATGATTTCCTCCAATTGTGCTTCCCAAGCCACCTTCTCGTCAACTCCGAGCTCTTCATCTAAACCGACATCTGAGAATAAATAATATTGTAGGGGTGAGCACTAAGTTCTATAGCAACATCCCTCCAAACTTGAACAAGGTTTAGAAAATATATAAAAACAGTCGGTCTCATTTCGCAAATATCATATATAACATTTGAAATAAAATAGGGACATTTCAATAGATCTCCAGTTTACGCAATAGCAATAATTAAATGAAGAGACAAACCAATTTCCAAGAAATAAACCATTTTAACATTGAACCACAATCCACCGTTTGTAAAATTACCCATAATGTAAATCAACCACAACTTGTATCTATGAATTTGTACTTGTGTCTCAGGCATGATGTATGACTTCGCATGCATTGACACATTGAGAATATCCTGACCCACACTCACACACCCAATCCTCGCAAGGATCTCCAACTTTTAGGAAGGGCATATACCAACAAAATGGCAGTGACGAATCCAACCCAGGAGTAGAATACTAACCCTTAGCCATGGTACCCGTGGGCAAATAGTGGCTTGGTCCTCACAAGGCACCAACTCCACTACAAGTGGTAAGAAAAATTCGAACCCACACGGAGTAAGAAATGCATCCACCCACTCTATGATACCCGGTCAACGGCCACCCATGGTCATCCCCAACATCCTCAAGAGATACAATCCCCAACAAATTTCTCACATAACAATCCAATTCCAAAATCCCCATATCTTCATGTAGTATTACAATAAAACAATTAAAGAAAATAAGCAAGAGATTCTCAACAATACCATTCTATTGTTCAATATAAAGCACTAGAGTTTTTAAATCAAGAACAAAGGAAGAATCAAGAGGAAAATCCATTTCTTTTGAAAACTAGGGTTTTATATCAAGAAAAGAGATTTCATGGTTATCTACCCCTAACTTTGTTTACAACATGGTAATTTTTGAAAGAATATCAAGAATCAAGGTTTTCAATGTATATATATAAGTTTTAGAGTCAAAACATGTATACATATAAGCTCTAGCCGCAATGGTCAAGAATGGAAGGAACCCCTACCTTGAATCAAAGGTTCCAAGTAAAGCCCAAGCTCTAGAGACCTCCTTCCTCCTTTTTCTTTCTTCCCTAATCTTCCCCTAGGGTTCTAAGAGAGTTGTGGTGAGAGTGGAGTGAAAAAATGGAAGAAAATGGGAGTAAAGTGGTGTTTTAAAGCCAAGAAATCCCGAATTTTACTGTTCACTGGGCCAAAAATTACATTTTTCTCCAAAATTACGGTTTTGCCATTAAATATATCAATTTGATCCCTATGACTACCCTAAGGTTTTTAGACGTTCCGGATTCATTTTTAATGTTATTTTAACCTAAAAATATTTTTTTTTATGATTTATCTTTATGCTAAAATAATTTACACCCGAAACACTAAAATTACTATTTTATTCCTCCGAACCACTCTTAATAAAGGTTTAAATCGATTCACCCATCTGATGTCCAACATACCATCCTTGGTACTCTATTATTGTCCATGTATAACATTTGAAGGAAAGACTACTTAGTCCCAAAGCTTTGCCAACTTAGGCACTAGTAACCACAACATTTGGTGGTAGTACCTCGGTTTTCCTCCTTTTTGACCATGATCCACTTCGAATCTGAAGAAGTTCAAAACGTGAAAGTTG